ATAGATTGGTACAGGGGATTCTTGGTCAGACATAAAGAAACTGAGGTGAGTTTGTCCTGTTATTTACCATCATTGTTATTATTGAAGTATTAGTGTTGCAACTTTAAAGTGACCAGATTTTAATTTACCAATTTGGGACACCATTGATGGGGGGGGGAGAAGAAATCAAAGGGGTGCCCAACATGTACCCAGCGTGCCCAGGTCCTTCTTACCTGGCCTCATCTTCACCCTGTGGGCACCTGAAGCCTTCCAGCCCGAGCACTAGCAGGAGTCGCGGGGCGGGCTGGCCAAGTGGCGTCACGCACGCAGCTCGCTTCGCCGCCTGATGGAGGCTGCCCTGCTGCTGGCGCTGCTGCGCCTCTGCTCCGCCGCTGAAGATGCCATCGCCATCCCCTCGCCAGCTCTTCCCGCCCGGACGCTCGCCGCCCAGGAACCTTCCAGCCCGCCCGGGGCGAGTCGGCTGTGGTGCAGCCGTTGGTGGGCAGGAAAGCTTCAGGCGGCTCCTGGGCAGTGGGTGTCCGGGCGGGAAGAGCCAGCAGGGGTGGCAGTGGTATCTTCGCAGCGGAGCACAGGCACAGCAGCACCAGCAGCAGGGCAGCCTTCATTGGAAGGCGAGGCAAGCTGCATACGCGAGGCCGCTCGGCCAGCCCACCCCATGACTCCTGTTAGTGCTCGGCAGGGTGCAGCCGCCACGCATCCTCCAGCCCCGCAGGCTGCCCTCCCGGCACACAGCCACCATTATCCTGCAATTTCTTGGCAGCGGCGGTGGATGCGGCGGCCGCGAGACCTCCTCCTCCTCAGCCACTGCCATCTTGGCCCCCCTCCCTCTGAGCCCCCTCCATCCAGCTTCCCTCAGGCCCCGCCCTGCTCTTCCCTTGCCCTCGCACAGAGGGTCCTGGCAACACTGCCAATGCCCTTTTCGTCCACTCACCCATGAAAATCGGGACTTTTTAAAAACGTCGTGGGATGCGGGACAAATTGTGAAAAATCGTGACTGTCCCGCCAAAAGTGGGATGTCTGGTCACCTTATGCAACTTGCTTTTTTCTCCTTTTGTACACAGGCAAAAATTAAGGATATAATTATCTACTGTATAGAATAATTTTATATACTTATACTCTAAAACAAACCCCATTGATTTGATCCCATATAGGCATGTACAAGATTACAATCTTCATGTGTTTTGACTGGACAATGTTTAAATAAGCAATTGATTTATCTGACTTATTATTTTTAGCTTTCCTTCAGGGAGTTTATGTTTCTCAATATTAACAATATTTAATTCATTTTAACCAAGATCAACATTAATTTAGGAACTCTTTATGCCTTTCCCTGTCAAGCTATTAAGTCAGGATTTGAATGAAGTTCAGGTTGTTTAATTGACTCCTGATTACAAGAAATACATTGATTGGAAATATTATATGCTATACCTAAATACATGGTTCTCAAACTCAAACATGGCTTTTAGACATGGCTCTCAAATGACTAGGAAAGAATAAAGAAAGGCAAAGAACTTTACTTAAGCTAAATTACTCTGCGTAACATCAACAATCTTTCTAAGATCAATTTTGGATATTACATATCAATGGAAGCTGAAAAGAGTAGATTTACTTCAGACCCATGTCCATTTACATTATAATATAGCAGGCTCTTTGACTTAGTAAAAGAGGTTCATTATCGAGTGTTATTTACTATCATTGGCAGACATAACTCTTGTCATATCCTTTATCTTTTCAAAAGGAAAACATCAAAGAACACATTTGGACGTTCAGCTTTTATTGTTGAGGAGGGGCTTCTATATCATTTGGGCATAATCAAAGCTCAGTGGCAAAATAAGATAGGTGGCATGGGCAGTGCTCAGTGGGTAGTCCTCTTTTGTAAACCTGGAAAAGTATGGAATATTATAATAATAATTTCACTCAGCCTTGTAGTTCAATTACTAAAGTATCATAGCTTCACCAAAGTTGGTTTCTAAATGCCTACTTATATAGCGTTGACTTTTCAACTGTTCAAGGAAGATATATTTTGGGAAATATAACAGCTGTGTTTTCCCTTCAATTTCAACAGGGAATATTTCCAAAATCTTTTATCCACATCAAAGAAATTGCTGCTGAGAAGAAAAGGTATTATATATAACATATATTTTCTAGATACCTTATTTTGGAAAAATAATAATATCTTTTATTATTGGTATATTAGAAACACATCTCAAGAAGGAAGAACATATTGCAACCAAACTAAACCAAATGTCACTTTTTATTCCATCTGGTTAAGATCAATTCAATATACAATTTGGGATCAGATCCCAACAATCATGAACAGGAAATTGATACAAAGTAGTGAAAAAAGTTATATTTTATTTTAAAGTACTGGTCTGGTATATGAATAGCAATAGTACTTAGACTTATGCTGTATATTGCTTCACAGTGCTTTGCAGCCCTCTCTAAGCAGTTTACAGAGTCAGCATATTGCCCTCAACAATATGGGTTCTCATTTTACTGACCTTGGAAGGATGGACGGCTGAGTCAACCTTGAGCCGATGAGAATCAAACTGTCAAACTGCAGGCAGCACATTTTTACCTAATATGATGGCTTGGTTCATGCAACTTGCTAAGATGTGAAAGAATTTGATCACTATTGTCTTACTCATTGTGGTTTTTAAAACACCTTTTATAGTTTAGATTTTTGTTTGAATGGAGCCTATGTTTGCAGAACAGTAAAGAATAGACAGTCGTTTATCCATTCTGACCATGTTTGGCAGAATGGTCCATCCTGACCATGTTTGGAAGTCCAAAAAGCTTAAGAAGGTATTTGAAAATCTTGTGGTTAGGTATAGGTAATCAGTAGTCAAGAATTACAATGCTTTCATTTAAAAAAGACATATCTTTTCTACATCTTTTCTGATTTCATTCATTCCTCTTTTTCCGTTACTTCTCAGCACTGCATTTACAAGCAAATATTCAGGAGATGTATGGAACATCTAGTTTAGAATGGGGATCAGATAAGCCTGTCTGAGTGTCAATTCAGGATTGTCTGTCTCAAATATCTATCTGTGAGATGTTTAGCTATGGACCCAGTTTTCATATTGGACAGTTCCATTTCTGGTTTTTACTTGGGTTGCTGATCACATGTATAATGTTAAATTGTATTATAACACAGTATTTGTCCTTTGGCTCAGAAATGCGGAAAATGTAATACCTGCTGAGATTCCATTGGTACAAGAGGTTACCAGCACATTATGGGAATGGGGTAGCATTTGGAAACAACTGTATGTGGTGAGTTATTCTTCCTTTCTTGCAGGGAAATTTTATGACTGCTCAAGAAGAAGCTTTAGTTGCATTAAGTGCCACGTCAGTAGGCTTGGTTATCCAGCAAGCCAATGTATTTTGTATTTAATTTTATGAATATATAACTGCTCTGAAAGTGCTGGAAGAAATCCCTTCATTGCAAGATTTAGCTTCAATTATTTAAGAGGCTGTTGTGTAATTCCACTTTTGAGTGTTATGTGATTTCAACCTTTGAATGATCTTTAATGCACCATGCACAAATGCACTGCTAGGAGAATGTGAAAGCTCTGGGTGATTTAGAACCTATGGCTTTGCTTATGCAGAAAAACTGCTCTTATGTTATTTCTAAACAGCTGACCGGCTTCTTTTTTAATGCATAACCTGTCCAATTTAAAGAAAATGAACTTTGTGCGCCCAAAGATCACACTGGTATAAAGTTTATTTTGGATAAAGGAGTGGTCATTTTAAAAAGAGAGAACACTTCTAATGTATTTGCTATTGAGTTCCCATGTTCACTATATGGATGAGAATAATGAGAATAGGTCAAAGTAAACCACAATTAAGCCACAAAGCAAAAACCTAGAATATATTTTTTGAACTCATCCTGAAAGGGTCCGGAAAATTTGGCAATCCGTTCTGTTTCCTCAACACAAGCAACCGGATTGGTAATTGATTATGCTTCAAGAAAAGGTTCCAGAGGTAGTCGATTAATTTAAAAAGCACGGGACTAGCTTTTTAGTAGATCTCCAAGGAAGCAGAAGAGCCAGGTGGATCAGAAGGAATTATTGGAAAGCTGTCACAACGTAGAGCAGTTGCTTCATTTTCCCTGTAGTAGAGCTGGAGGCATGCAAACAATTTTTTAATTAGGAAAAAAATGTCATTGCTGTGAAAGGAAGGATATTCTAAAATGCCTAGAGATATAGGTTCCTATGTCATGTTCAGAAAACAATAATCCTTCTGCTGGATTCCTGGGTTTTGGTTTATGCCAAATTTTCTATTCTGTGATCATACTTGTGGTCTTACCTGTTTTACAATAGTCCACCCTACCTTCAGTCACAATAAAGCACTAAGCACTTTCAACATAAACTGAGGCTTGTGTTTTAAATATCTATTATATTTTGATTATGTTTTGAGAAAATTGTTACAACTCCTCCCTAAAACAATGCTATAAAACACTGCACACCAAGACAACCAGAAACAAGAACAGTTTCCCCCCGAACTTCATCACTCTGCTAAACAAATAATTCCCTCACCACTGTCAAACTATTCACTAAGGCTGCATTACTATTATTATTATTATTATTATTATTATTATTATTATTATTATTATTATTATTATTATTATTATTCTCATCGTTCCTATTATCCATTTCCTCCCACTTATGACTGTATGACTTTAACTTTGTTGCTTGTATCCTTACAATTTACATTGATATTGAATGTTTCCTGATTGCTTATTTGTACCCTATGACTATCATTAATTGTTGTGCCTTATGATTCTTGATTGATGCATCTTGTCTTTTTATGTACACTGAGATCATATACACCAAAGACAAATTCCTTGTGTCCTTGGCTAATAAAGAATTCTATTCTATTCTATCCCCAGGGTTTTTGTAGATTGGGGAAAAATAGGATCACTTCCACTTAGAGAAAATATACTGATTCTGCTGTCATAAAGGGGTTGCTTAACCACAGTGACAAACAGCAATTGAAATTTTAAATAAGCTAAAGTTTGAATTGTTTCCTTTTTCAGGCAAGCAAGAAAGAACCCTTCCAGCAGGTACAAGCGATGATGTGCGAGTTAATGGAGTGGAGATCACAGCTCCTCTCAGGGACATTGCCCAAAGATGAATTGAAAGAACTGAAACAAAAGGTCACTTCCAAAATTGATTATGGCAACAAGTAAGTTCCGATGTTGCTATCAAAGTATTTTAGAAATAGAATTACCTTGGCATATTAGAAGCTGAGATTCCTTAGGTTTGCTAACCTTAGCATTGCTTTTGAGAACACTATAATAGAATATATTATGTGCACAGTTACAGTATATGTGGTACCTTGCTCAATAGTAGTAACTGTGAGAGGGATCTTGGAGTCCTAGTGGACAACCATTTAAATATGAGCCAGCAGTGTGCAACAGCTGCCAAAAAAGCCAACACAGTTCTGGGCTGCATAAACAGAGGGATAGAATCAAGATCACGTGAAGTGTTAATACCAACTTATAATAACTTGATAAGACCACCCTTAGAAAGTGCATCCAGTTTTGGTTGCCATGATGTGAGAGATGTTGAGAATCTAGAAATACTGCAGAGCCGAGCAACAAAGATGATTAGGGGACTGGAGGTTAAAACATATGAAGAACGGTTGCAGGAACTGGGTATGTCTAGTTTAATGAAAAGAAGGACTAGGGGAGACATGATAGCAGTGTTCCAATATCTCGGGGCTGCCACAAAGAAGAGGGAGTCAAGCTCCAAAGCACCTGAGGATAGAATAAGAAGCAATGGGTAGACACTAATCAAGGAGAGAAGCAACTTAGAACTAAGGAGAAATTTCTTCACAGTTAGAACAATTAATCAGTGGAAAAACCTGCCCCCAGAAGTTGTGAATGCTCCAATACTGGAAGTTTTTAAGAAGAGATTGGACAACTATTTGTCTGAAGTGGTGTAGGGTCTCCTGCCTAAGCAGGAGGTTAGACTTGAAGGTCCCTTCCAATTCTGTTATTCTATTCTATTCTATTCTATTCTATTCTATTCTATTCTATTAAGTGCTCATTAGAAAAACTGATTTGATGATTTTATGGTGCTTATATATTATATTGTCTCCTTCTCCTTACCGTTTTTAGGATACTAATACTTGTTTTGCTTTTTTGGATCTTGATCTTCTGTTACGTTTTTCTTTTTATTTCCCATCCCAAGTCACAAATTCTGTACAGGAGGTAATATGAAGATAGTAAACATATTACATCTGTTAGACTACATTCCAGAGCAACCATGGAGAAAAAGACAATGTGGCTGATAAATATTTCATATACAAAGCTTATCTATAGGAACAGCAAAGGGAAGTGCTTGGGCTGGATGTTCTAGAATAAGATATATTGAATGGAAAGGGCATCTTAGATTTTTAATTTGCATTTCATCGAAACAAAAAAAATCAGAAAACACACAACTATCCCTCTTTTATTAGGCAAACTTGGAGTGAGTTTTCCTAAAGTATTTTAGGGCATTTTTAAAAAGTGGCTTTTGCAAAATGCAGGATATTTTTTTTACGTCTATCATTTCAGCGTTCTGTATCTCATTGTTTAAGTATTGTTTAAAAGATGAAAAATGTTCGAAGCAGTAAGTCATATAAAAAGATAGGAAGATACACAAAGTACAGGCAGATTCTTAAAGGATCTCAAAGAATGAAAGTATGATTTTACTTCACCAAATGGAAACAGTTAATACAAATATGGAAAGGCAAAACAGCAACAACAATCCTTGATCTAAAGGAACAAGCTTACAACTTCATTAGGAAGTCCACACACAGTTTCTCTCTAGCCTAGGTCTTTGCAACAGTTCTTCTTATACCTTCTCCCTTACAGAGCATGCTATCATGTTGTCATTCCAAATGGTCAGGTGCAAGGTGAAGAGTATAAACAAAGCTAAGGTAAACAAAAGGCAAAGAAATATCACCTGGACTCTCAACATGCTGCCCTTAATCATGTCAGAGTGATGCCAGTTAAAATTAATATCTTAATTAAAAAATAGTTGTTTGGAGACAGAGGAGAATTTGAAGGGAAACAGTCTAGATTATTGCTTATTTTATCTTGTTTTGTCTTAATTTCAAGGAAAACACCTATAGGCACCATAGGTGTGGCTTCTCTTCAGATGCAAATAGCAACTCCCCAGAAGTAGGAAGAGGAAGATTTATCAATCTAGTTTTGGAGTTTCCATGACACATTGCACCATAAGTACAAACATTGGCTGGGTTCAGTTAAACAAAATGAGATTGGCCAATTTGTGACTCAGCATATTGTATACACTCAGCTAAAGGATTGAAAGTTCTGCATTTCATCTTTGCAAGCTACAGTTACTTGGACTTCTCAAAAATTGTTTCTTTCATTGCAAAATCATGGATGTTAATTATATTTACAGTTCATTCAGGATGCCATTCACCATTATGCATTATCCTCATTATATGATCTGTTAACCCAAACTTTTTGCTATGCCTCAGACACGGTGTTTGGTTTTGGATGAATGTCTTAATTTTTAAATCACACCTCAAAGATAAACAGACAATGAGATTTCAAACAACTTGAAATGAAACGTAAGATATTTGTAGTGTGATGTCCATTTGAAACTGAAGGATGGCCTTTAATGTTGCAGATGACACTTTCCATTTATATCTACAGGATTCTAGAGCTGGACCTGATTGTTAGAGATGAAGATGGCAATATTTTGGATCCTGACAAAACCAGTGTCATCAGTCTCTTCCACGCACATACAGAAGCTACAAAAAAAATAACAGAAAGAATTAAAGAAGAAACGGTATGGGGTTTGCATTCCATCTTTCTACTTTCAAACAGAGTTTTCCTTGTTTATTCCCATGAACGATTAATCTGCAAAAGCATCAGGAGCATCTTAGCAATCACTTCTCCTACTTGATTCAGTATGTATATTAAAAATATCTCCTCACACCAAGAATTTATTCTGAATTCCCAGCTTTTTTTAAAATGCCGATTTCAATCCATCAATAAACCAGTAACATAACTTAGACTTCCAATTTACACACATATTGGTGCAGACCAAAAGGGCTACAGCAAACTTTTTTTAAAAGTCAGATATACCTTACTTGGTCTTTAAAAACAATGTGCATTGGTGAATCTTTGTAAAAAATGCGGAGACAAGATTAAATTTAGAAGGGAGGTCAAGGCCTTCCTATTGTCCATGTTTATAAGCTTTAAGTCAAACAATGTTTGTATGACGAAAGTGAGCATCACACCAATTCAGATTTTCTAAAATCTAGTAACTTAAATTACATTCTTTGCTAGCAAAGTAGTTTTTCTTGATGTTTGTAGATACAACTCTTTTATTCTGAATTCCTATTGAAGTACCAGGTTCCAAGGTTATCATGATGGTAATAACAATTGTGCACAGTGAGCAATGCCAGACTATCTTCAGGTATTCATGTCTGCTGGGACACGATATGTTTAAGCACACTATTTCCTGAACAGACCTTTTATTTTTTGTGTGTGAGATCTCCATGATCTAATTTCTGGCTTAATGGGAAAAAAGTACCTGTCTTTTCCCTGAAAATTAATGCTGAATTAACTTAAACCTAAAACCAGCAGACAATGCTACATATGATTTAAAAAATCAGTAACACCTAAAAAGTTACAATTGTAGCATTCCATAACTATTGTGTGAACAAGATCTACAGTACAAAGTAGGTATGGAGAAGAACAGTTTATACCAGAGTTTCCTTTTTGCTATCACAATCTTTATGTACATGCCTCCTAGTGGTGGGATTCAGGCAGTTCACACTTATTCGGGCGAACCGGTTGGTAACTTTCTAAGTAGTTCAGAGAACCAATAGCAATAGCAGTTAGATTTATATACCGCTTCATAGGGCTTTCAGCCCTCTCTAAGCAGTTTACAGAGTCAGCATATTGTCCCCAACAACAATCCGGGTCTTCATTTTACCCACCTCGGAAGGATGGAAGGCTGAGTCAACCCTGAGCCGGTGAGATTTGAACAGCCGAACTGCAGAACTGCAGTCAGCTGAAGTAGCCTGCAGTGCTTCAGTTAACCACTGCGCCACCTTGGCTCTGATTGTTGGAAGAAATCTCCTTTTGTTTTTTTTCACTTTACAGGGCTAATCCTGTAAGGAAGGCAGGAAGAAAACATTCTGGTGTTGTTTCTAGCCTAATATTTATTGACCTGCTTACAGAAACTGCCTCTCTGGTTAACCCTTATTACATTGTAAAGCTAAGGCGAAGCACCCATTGACCTCAGTGACCTTGAGTTCGCTACGCCCACCCAGTCACATGACCACCGAGCCCCACCTACCCAGATGGTCATTAGGGCAGAGAACCGGTTGTTAAATTATTTGAATCCCACCACTGATGCCTCCCCTAAAATTCCCAAAAAATAAAATGAACACAAATAAACAATGAAAGCAATACAATGAAAAATATATATTTGTTAATTTATTAAAAAAAGCATCACTACTAGGTTATTCATGTGAGGGTAATATTTTGGGAAATGTGAATTTATTGTAATAATTTAACAACTGTTAATGGTTTTTCATACTCACCCTGGACTTTGTACCAGCATAAAGAGAGACATACCTCACAGTTTGGGAAAGGCTGCCTTATACATATAAAAAGATGTTTGATTTCAGAAGTAGAGAGGTCTTTGTAGATATTTACAGCAGTTTACTTAATTTACTTAATTTTGCATCTCAGGTATTGGAAATGACCAAACATTATGGGAATTATATTTCAGCACAACTGGGCAGGAAAAGTTGGGGAAAGTGTGATAAATGTTGTGGTTTAAATGTTCGTGACCACAAAGATGTGATGTAGCATTAACATTTTTTTTAAAAAAGCAAATCTGTTTATCAAGTTCTTTTGCTGTTTTTCTAATAACATCTCTTTCTCTTATTTGTTGTTGGTTCTCAGTCAAAAGATGAGCCTATATATGGAACTTTCTGCCGAAATACTTCATCCCCCACACACAGCCTTTATGTCTTTGTAAGAAATTTTGTCTGCAAAATAGGAGAAGATGCTGAACTTTTCATGTCCCTCTATGATCCCAATAAGCATACAGTGATAAGGTATGCCAGGTTTTTTTTCACTGATGCACAGTGTTCATTTTCCTAAGAAACTTAAATGTTTGTGTGAGATTATAAATGTGTGGATCAGGGGTAGGTTCAAGTAGTCACTACTACCAGTTTGGTCATGGCCATACCGCACACAAACACACACAGACTGCTGGCTCCAGCAACCCAGGCTGCCAAACCACTACCGGTTCAGCTGAACTGGTCTGAACCGGTAGGAACCCACCACTGGTGTGGATTATGACAATCTCTTGAGGTTTGGATGAATTTGCGATGTGTTGAAATTAAACATACATAGTTATGAACAGACTTATTTATATTAATGAATCATTTGCTAAGACATCAGAATGACTTATAGGTAGCCCAGGTTTGCATCAAAGCCTATGTTATTTTAATAGGTTAATGGAACTGCTTGTATCTTTACATAATTATTAACCATTGTCTCAGGCTTTCCCCATTGCTCTAGGTTTAGCCAAGCATAATGACTGAAGTTGCAGGAGCTGATGAAACTTAGTTGGTAGAATTTTCAATGATGCACTTACTATAATTTAAAATTTCTTGCCAATATTTTATATAGTGTTATTTCAATGTGACAATCTGAGTTTATATAATGTTTGTTTTTCCACAGTGAAAATTATTTGGTGAGATGGGGGAGCAAAGGTTTTGTAAAAGAAATTGACAATTTCAACAATCTGAAAGTGGTTTTCACTGTGAGTAAACATAATCCTTTCACTCCAACCATTCATACTACCTGTACCTTTTCTGGAAAACTTGCAGAATCAAGTATTTCTCATCTGTCCACGGGAAATAGAATTAGCAGAATTTTGCTAATTGACCTCTGAATTGACTTCACTTTATTCATTCTCTCTCTATGGCTAACTTTACATATAATGCAAAGGCATTATGTGTTTTTGACTTGGGCAAACTCAGCTATTTTATCTTACGTAACTAACCATGGTTAAAAAAAGATTGCCTGACAGATGAAAATAATATTTTTTTTTACAAAGAATTTTTTTTTTAGTTTTTTTTTTAGTAGAAACGAACTTTTTCAAATAAATCATATGGGGGACATATATTTCCATGCAACTGAGGCCTCAGCCGTAAGACTAAATCTAGTGTTTGACTCACATAATCCTGAAACACTGAGGATAGATGGTAGTTGTCATCTTGGAATAACTGATCCATATCATTATGGCTTTTATCTAGCTGTATTTGAGAAACATTAATATTGTGGTACAAGAAAAATTATCATATTGTACACAGATGTTATGCTAAATACAACAGATGACTAAGTCAGTAAATCAGTGAAACATATAAATTATATTCTAATTACCTGAGAACTTCTGGGGAAGAAATGCCAAACTGAAGACAACGCTAACAAAAGCAGAACTGAGTAGGATCAGGAATTTGCTGATTGACTACACTAAAAGAAGATCTGGTGATGGATCAGCAATTTGCAGTTCCACAGAAAAAGGAAGACAACCAGAGATGGTCCACAAGTGCTTCAGAGAGTTGTTTCTAGCATGGATTTTTTTTGGGGGGGGGAATTAAGTGCAAGTTTATAGCAATAGCAATAGCAGTTAGACTTATATACCGCTTCATAGGGCTTTCAGCCCTCTCTAAATGGTTTACAGAGTCAGCATATTGCCCCCAACAACAATCCAGGTCCTCATTTTACCCATCTTGGAAGGATGGAAGGCTGAGTCAACCCTGAGCTGGTGAGATTTGAACAGCCGAACTGCAGAACTGCAGTCAGCTGAAGTAGCCTGCAGTGCTGCATTTAACCACTGTGCCACCTCGGCTCTTAACAGCAAAAGATTACAACTTTGGCTTGGGAAAGTTTAAAAAATGAGTTGAGAGTTCAGATGGATTGGAAATAACATTTTCAAACTAATGTTAAGGGTGAAATAATTTTGTTTTGAATTTTTTTACAACACATGTGAAACTTCATTCTGTGCTGAAGGAGGAAATCTTTATTTTTTATTTTCTTTAGTATATTCTTAGTTTTCTTTATTTTCTATTTCTATTTTTTGTTTTCTGCAGTTTCTATTTCATTCTTGTTGTTTATATCAGGTGGTGCTGAAACAACATTTTCCTGTTGTTATTGTTACATTATTACAGCAGTATTAAACCAGAAAATGTTGATGTTTAGATATCACAGTTTTTTTAACTGTCAGTCTGTTTAACTGAATTTTGCTGCTATTTACCTCAGGATCTTGGAAACAAAGATCTTGGAAGAGACCGAATTTATTTGATCTGTCAAATTGTACGGTTTGGAAAAATGGAACTCAAAGATACTAACACCAAAAAATATACTCAGGGCATAAGAAGGCCTTTTGGAGTGGCAGGTAAGGCAAACAATGGATAGGATTCAAATGTCAGGGTTCCAAGTAATACATCCCGTTCCATAAGAACTCCGGGGCAGGTAAATTCCTCAAGGAACATTTTATTGGAACATATCAAATTGGAAACATTCCTGGTGGAAAACTGGCTCTAAGTCCCCACTGGATTTTCACCCAATTAAAAGTAAAACTGTCTCTTCTTCCCCTTCCCCGAATCTCCAGTCACACGGTCCAATCAGCATGCAGTCCAGTTGCTAGATGACCTCAGCCTCCACCAACATCCTTGATTCTCAGGAGAAATAATTTTATTTAGGCTACAACACTCCAGCTATCTCTATATCCCCCTCCCTGGCCTCTTTGCTCCAGGCTGTGTCAGCACTGAAGCCATGAGAAAAGAAACTTCCCTAGACAAAACTACCAAGAGAAAATAGCCACAGTTCGCCCAACTTCAGGGTTGACACCCAAAAAACCTTCACAGTTTTTAATACAATTCCATTTGTGCCTATGTCTGTTTAGCCACTCCTTGCTTATTAATGCCCCATCACCTCCCACATTACCATTGTCCTTGTATATTTAAATCCCAGTCAATGTGAGCTTATGCTACCTGATATACAGATTTACCAAGATCATGGCATTTATAACATATTCACTGCCAACAAGCATATAAGGATAAGTTTTGGCACTGGATACATAGGATTCTGCTTATATAATTGGACTTGATCTTCTGTTATTTAACCCCCAGCACTGACATTTTTTGTATACTGATATATCCATAGAGATTTATGAAGCTATATTTGTATTTAAACCTTGTAATGCTATCAATTAGATATTACCTACAGAAAATGTTGAACATGTAGCTTAGAAGTTTTCTTTTTAATGTGTGATCACAAGAGAAAGTCAAGAGATGAAAGTGACTGCCAAAGCAACGATCCCTTCTTAAATTTGTTCCAAGTGACATTACTAAGTGAGATGTTCTTTAAGATGTCATTGAAAAAAAAGATCAATGAAAAAGGTGGCTGATCAAAGAATGGTGGATTTTATTTTAAATTGGCAGCATGAAAAAAAAACAAGACATAGTATTTCGGGCGATACAGACATTATATAATGTTTCCTTCCCAGTTCCAGATGTGCTGAATTAAAAATTTCAACCATCATAACCAGCAAGTTCTTATGATCATTCTGGTTGAGAGAGTTGAAGAAATTTGTAATCCAACTCATTTGGAAAAACGCAGGTTAAGGAAGAATGGTAGGACAAGATAAGAACTCCAAATAATCTGCTCACCTTTGCATTATCTCATTAATATTTTATATGGGGAATAAAAAATAATAATACCAGAGCGCAGGCAAGCAATATTTGAATGCTAATGCATTATTAAGCAAGCATATCAAATCAGCTGTGTCAGCTCTAGCTCTAAATTAATTGCTATTTACTTAGGGCTTTTATAGTTATCGGCAGTTTTTCACTGATGTGTAAATAAGTAATGGATGATGCCGGAAGTGGGGAGCAAATCATTGAGTTTTTCCAAATACTGTTTTCTCAGGCAGATACTAGTTTTCTAACAGGAGCAATGCTTCCTCACATACAGGCTATCCACAAAGTTTGTTGCAGTGTATTTGTGTGCCTATATTTTATTTGATCAGATTTAAAAGTTGCTTTGGAGAAAAGCAAAAGAAAGTTTGATTCTAATGCTCTTTTATATAGTTTTTGAGGTATATGATTCTAACTGGGGGAAAAGTTATACCTGTTGCCTTTTTTCAAGCCTTGAGAGCTTTTTGTTTTCTTCCCTTAGTAATGGACATCTCAGATATTATAAAAGGAAAAGCAGAAAGTGATGAAGAGAAACAATATTTCATTCCCTTTCATCCGTAAGACAATTTTGCTGTTTAATATTTTTAATGTGTAAAAAAAGTTATTCTGTCAGGAAAAAATAGTAATATTTTTTACAAGTTATTATAAAGATAAATCAGAATGAACTGAATCTAAAGGTACTTTTCATATACAGGAATCTTCTGCTTACTGAAAGCACATATAATCTAAATCATCTTTTTCACAGTGTAGACTAATTATTGTGCAGGTATCTGTAAATAAGCCCTAGAAGGTTTTGTCCTATATCTCAATGCTGAAGCAACAATGTGTTGTTTCCCTTTGCCATATGTGAATTACTGAATTTGCAATTGACTTCTGTTTATTAAGCTTAGAAGCATTTGTTGTTTTATGTTTAAGAAGTCTTCCCTTATCACATATTCAATAACTGTGCTTGATACTTTAAACGTACTGCTTCACATTCAAGTACTGATGAAAAAGTTGTCTCAATTGAGTTTGATTCACTATATGCCTTTGGTTTGCAGTAATCTTTTTCTTTTTCTTTCAGAGTTCCAGAGAATGAGTTTTTGCACAATCTTTTAAACAAGGTTACCACATTCAAAAGTGACAGTGGCGGGCAAGGTGAAGTACATGCTTGTTCTTACTCCTGCCTCCCATATCTATATCCTTAAAGTGATAGCATGATTGGAGACCTTTAAGCCACATTGGAAGAAGTACTAGGAATCAGCAATATTAATAAAGAGACACACACCTTCTAATATGTTTAGTTATATGAGCTTTAAATGGAGCCCCTTGTTCATACAACAAAAACTTCAGTAGTGTGGAGTTTGAGTCTATTGTGGTTGTGAGTTACTTGCTTACGTGAATGCGTTTTAGAATAGAACTTCTCAATTAGGCTTTGTTGTCTATATTTTTTTTAACTCTTAGTTCCCATTTCATGATAAGTCTTTTTTTATCTTTGTATGTCATACAGGATTATGGGTAACTATGAAAATGCTTGTTGGAGACATTACTCATATTAGAAAGGACTATCCTCACCTTGTTGACAGGACAACAGTTGTTGCTAGGAAGCTTGGCTTTCCTGAAATAATCATGCCAGGTATGGTACCAATCCTTTTTGTTTTAAATTGAAAGGTCCTTTCTTCTTTCTTTCTTTCTTTCTTTCTTTCTTTCTTTCTTTCTTTCTTTCTTTCTTTCTTTCTTTCTTTCTTTCTTTCTGTCTGTCTGTCTGTCTGTCTTTCCTTCCTTCCTTCCTTCCTTCCTTCCTTCCTTCCTTCCTTCCTTCCTTCCTTCCTNCTTTCTTTCTGTCTGTCTGTCTGTCTGTCTTTCCTTCCTTCCTTCCTTCCTTCCTTCCTTCCTTCCTTCCTTCCTTCCTTCCTTCCTTCTTCCCTCCCTCCCTGACATAAAGGGAAAAGATAAAGGCATCATTACTTAGATCTATAATTTTCTTATAACTCTTCATTAAATCAAAATTAAATTGATCCCAGTATCTACATCAATTACTGTAATAAGCAAATTTTATTTCCTAAGGTCCAGATTGGATTGTGTTGAAATTAAATATGATAATATTATTCATAAAGTGATCAAACTACAATATAACTTTTCTTTAAATATACTTAAATCCTCTACTTTATTCCCTCTGGCCATTATATTTTTATTTCTTTTTCATGCCAAATGTTTATGTGAAAAGAATAGATTTATGAGTGTTTCTGTTCAATTAATTTTTTCACCTTCAGTAGGAAATTAATGGCATCCAGATAGTCGTCTTCTTCCTCCTCCTCCTCCTCCTCCTCCTCCTCCCCCTCCCCCACTCTGTCTCTTCCTCCCTCCTCCTCTTCCTCTTCCCCCTCCCCTTCTGCTTCCCCTTCTCATTTCTCTTTCCCCCCATTATTATAAAGGCATGTTTTACTTGTATGTGTGTGTACTTTAATCTATTTGCATACTTATGTTTTTATGCTATTTGACATATAAGAGCTTACAAAACAAAGAAGTTAACATTACTGCCTATTCAAAAACTGATGAAAAAGGTGCATCTTCCATAGATTCAAGACCAAGGAAGCAAAAACTTCATCTTAAAAGAAGAGGAGTTTGTCTGATTTTTATATGTTTTTAGGTGAAGATGAAAGAGGCTTGTTTTCAAGAGAAATTTGCCCTTCCCAGTTTTTGTCTTCCCATCCTGTCCTCTTTTATTCACTGCAATAGACTTCATGGCACAATGCTTTGACTTCCGTTTTATCCTTGCCACTTTCTCAGTTAGCTGATTTGACTAAAGTTCACCAGAAGGTGTCACTGCAGAATGAGGATTATCCATTGATAATGGAGCTACAATCATCCTTTTCCTGAAGGGACAATGAAGTCAGCATTAAGATTAACTTCATTTTCCTGTTGAATGTTCTAGTATAATCCAGAGTACAGAAGAAATATCTTTTAATATGCTTTGTCACTATAGCAACTTACTTCAAACTTTTTGCGTTTCCTTCGCAGGCGATGTAAGAAATGACATCTACATTACCTTGCTATGTGGAGATTTAGATAAATTTAATAAAACTACCCAGAGAAATGTAGAAGTCAATATGTGTGTCTGCGATGAAGATGGGAAAGTGATACCCGTAAGTGCTTTTCTGCTCTTAATGTATATTTTTAAAAAAACATGGTTAAAGGCTAGTGGCATTTTCCTCTGTAGAGTTTGAGACTGAATCTAGTGACTTTGGTCCAGAAATTCTGCTGCAGAAATGCACATTTCTAAGCTAATTTTTGCAACTTGTTTTATCCAACTCATGAAACAAAGACTGGATTCACAAATTCTAATCTTTGTGAGAAGCCATAGCATAGTTGATTTGTTTTTAGTGTAATCCAGCATCATAATTGCTACAGCCTAGTTTATGGTTTAGTGTGCTGTATGGCATATAAGAAGTATGAAGTATATATACCACCAAGGTATACCAAGTGTGAACTGAGAAGAAAGAAAGAGGAACTTTTAAACTTGAGATGTTTGTTTGATAATGGAAGACCAAGGCAAAATGCCAGCTAGTCAGATTCAGCAATTACTCCTTTAAAATGCTTAGTATTTGTCTTTTAGTACATTTCACAGCATTTGTTTCACGCTTCAACCTGCACATTTGTTATGAGAGTGTGAGCTTATTCAATTTCCATATATAGCCACAGGTGCAAGAAATGGGAATTCAACCTGGCAATTAAAAAGTGACAAATATCAGATTTTTCTTTGTTAATTAACACTTACCAAAGAGCTTGTTGAAAATTTCAGAATCCTGGAATATTGGGAACCTAATCACAGTTAGTCCTCAGCTTATGACCACAATTGAGACCAAATTTTCTGTTGATAAATGAGACATTTAAGTGACTTCCCCCCCTTATATAAACTGTCTTGCCAGAGTTGTTAAGTGAATCACTGCAGCTGATAAGTTAATAACCTGGTATGTGTCTGTAGCTTCTCCATTGACTCTGTCAAAAGGTTGCAGAAGTTGGGACACAGCAATGGGCATAAGTATGAACCAGTTGCCAAGTTTGAATTTTGATCGCATGATCATGGGGATGCTACAAAGATTGAAACTGTGAAAAATGGTCACTTTTTTCAGTGCCATTGTAGCTTTGAATGTTCACTAAATGAACTGTTGCAAGTTGAGGACTACCTATTTTGTTTTGTTACTAAGATAAGGGAAAGTATTAAAAATAAAATCTAAGAATGACAAATCCAAATTATCTCCAAACTAATTGGGCCAATTAAAAAAAAACTGCCTTGTTACTATGTTTTAGTTTGTTTAACATGGGAATATGTTCTTTCTTTGTTGGGAGGGGAGAGGCCAATTAAAAGGAGCCCGTAAAATGGTATCATTACCGCCAACTGAGGCAATTATTACTGAAGCATCTGTGTCTAAATATAAAGCATTTGTAATATAGTTGTCAAGAAGGTCCCACAGATGTCTATGTCTACAAAGTGGAGGGAGGTAAATGTTAATAAGAGAATATTATCAGGGCCTAAATTGGAAGAGACCATGCTGGCACATCTCTATAATAATCACATGACTATCAAATTTAAAGGGAACCTCTACAAAGCAGCTTTGAGAGAAAGTATTGTTGAAAGCTTTGTCAAAGTGTAGTACCTCTTTGAAGTTTTGCATAGGTCTAATAGTCAAAAACTTCTATGTTGGATTATTATTTTGAAAGACCTCCACATCGGATAATAATTTTCTAATCCTCCCTACATGTTAATGAAAGGAAGCTCATGCCTTCTTTTTTTCATCCTGGTGACGTGAGGACTAAGGTGACTGTTTCAGACAACAGTTTCCATGAGAGGAAAAGTGATGAAAAATGTTGAAGGATAGAACTGTACAATCTTTTGTCCTTTTAGTTACTGGGTTAACTTTTTGTGATGTCGGAAGATTAAAATATATAAATATGTTGTAAAATTATTGCTTTGCTTCAGTAACAAGTACTAAAGAACATATTAAAATTATTAAAGCATAGGCAACATTGTAATATGCCTACTTATTTATTTGTATGTTTATTGAAAATATTTATATGGCTCCCTATCTACCGGAAAAAACTCTGGGTAGTCAACAAGTATAAAAACACAATGGAATGATAAAATAAGGCATTAAACAAAAACATTGAGGCCCACTTCTGCAGATCAAACATACTATGTTGATGATGTAAATTTGTCTTGAATGATTCCTTCTGAAAATCAATGAAGATTCATGACTGTATCTCAAATCCAATATTTGCTCTAAAATATGGGCTTGTCTGGGCCGCATTGAGTGAGAAGGAATCTTTTTGGGTCAGATGCAAAATATATAATATAGTTAATGTATATAAATAACAAACTAGGTGTCCAGGGCTGCATGTGGTATAATAAGATGATAAGGGTAATTTATTTATTAAATGCAATGCATTTATTTCTTCCTTTGCTTTCCCTTCAAATTAATACAAACTTACTTCATGTATTTTTGATGTGCAGTGTTGGCTCAGTTACAGATGCTTCTGATGCGATAAAAAATTAAATTAAATTTAACAGAAAATTGTAAAATGAGAAGAGGTGCAAAATAACACACATAATCAGCCAACAATTCTTTTCACAGGAAAGTTTGAAACTAATTACCTTCTTGCATTGTTAAATTTCCAGGGATTTTTCTGTGGAATGAATAGAATTGATTGAAATGGGAAGGAAGAAATTAAGAGGGCATTTGAAGAAAAGAATAGCTACATGATGAAAACATTAAAAAAAAAACCACCCAGTTTATTTATTCCAAAAGAAGATAAAGCCATGTTTAATTGATACTCCCACAAGTTATCAATATATATATATATAAATCCTGCCCAATTGAATGCAATTTTGGAGATTCCTGTCCCCCAAATCCATATGAATATGTTTATTTATGTATTTAGAATGTTTATTTGGTTGTCCATCTTCAACAAGAAGACACAATAAAGGGATATACATAAAATATATAATAGAATAGAATTCGTTATTGGCCAAGTGTGATGGGACACACAATGAATTTGTCTTTGGTGCATTTGATTTCAGTATACATAAAGAAAAATAAAATAAAATAGAATACAAGGATCAAAAATCATAAGATACAACACTTAGTGGTCGTCATAGGTTACCAATAAACAATCAAATTATACTGTAAAATAATACAAAACCAAAACATAAAAAATAATATAATCTAAAAATAATATGTTGGGGAAATTCTGTCTGTCTGTCTGAATGTCCATCCAGACACATATACAAACAACCGAACAAACACACAAACACACACATACACACACTTTGAAGCATTATTAAAAGAAGAGGAAGAAAGAGTAGGATGTTAATTCTGTAACTGCCTAGACCTTTACACATTATGATGTCTATTTTTTCCTATCTCCTAATATCTTTCTTATCTGCATGTCCATGAATGCTGATCCCACTCTGGCCATTTCTATTACCATTAGTTACTCTTCATAGACGGAGAAGTAGACCCACTTTACTAGTTACCACGAATAGAAGAAATAAGTTCTTTGGATTCTTTTTCTTCTGTTTATGAAATCCTCTACTACTCTAAATTGGGCTCAACAGGATTGACAACTTTTGTGAAAGGCTATTCGTTCTTTGCTTTCCCTAGATATTTTTTGTTAAACTTTGTATTTTATGTATTTATTTGCAGTGTTGGCGCTCCTGAAGCTGCCACTAATCAAACTTTCCAAATAGTTGTGCCTGTCACATTAACTTTTCAGAATTCCTGAGCACAGAAAGAAATCAGAGAATGACAGAGTTTGGAAATATCACTTAGGCTATCCTCTTCTGCCTGTTCCATATAAAAATTCAAACTGAAGTACCATAACAGACAACTGTTTAATCTTTGCTGAAATACATCATGTGAAGGGGAACCCACCATATCTCTTACTAAATCCTTCCATTGTCAATTTAATACTTTCTTGTAGCATTAAAGCACCATCTGCCTTCTTGTAACTTGAATCTATTATTCTGAGTCCTGTCCTCTGCCAAGAAAGAACAATTCCTGGCTGTTGTCCATGTACCACCCTTTCATGTATTTGAACAGTGCTATAATCTCCCTCCAGCACCTTTTGTTCTCCAAGCTAAAGATTTCCAGGTCCTTCAATTTCTTTTCATAGGATTTAATTTCTAATGTCTAATCATCTTTATCGTCCTTCTTTGAACATGTTCCCATTGCTCTTCATCCTTCCTAAAATGACACATCTAGATCAAGATCCAATATTGAAGGAGGTGGAGAGGGCAACAGGTGGATCAGAAGTGGGATTATTTTAGAAACTGTACTTCCTATTCAGGAAGCCTAAAACCACAGCTGCATTATGCTACAGACTCATATTCATTTTATCCTCAAAACTCATTCCTCCATTCCCCCCTCCAAAGTTTTATTGCTTAGCCAGGTATTCCCCATTTTATACAGGTAGCTTTTGAATTACGACCATCACTGAGGCCAATATTTATGTTGCTAAATGAAACATTTGTTTAGTGAGTTTTGCCCCATTTTACGAACTTTCATACAATGGTTGCTAAGTGAATCATTGCAGTTAAGTTAGTAATACAGTTGTTAAGTTAAAATGGCTTCCCCGGTGATTTTGCAGAAAGTTGTAAAAGCAGCAACCATTATACACATGAATCAATTGCAAAAACATCTGAATTTTGATCATGTGATCATGGGAATGTTGCAATGGCCATAAGTGTGAAAAACAAGTCACTTTTTTAGTGCCATTGTAACTTTGAACAGTCACCAAATGCACTGTTGTAAGTCGAGGACTATTTGTAGCTGTATGCTTTGCGCCTGTCTTTTAACTGAAGAATTCTGCAATTGCCTGGCTAAATTCCAGTTTGTGATTTTCAGTCTGTTTCTCTAACTTATTGTGACAGTTTATTTCTGCCTTCTGGTGTTACCTCTCTCACCCACTGTCATGTCATTTGCCATTAATTAATTAATTAAAATGCTGAAGCACAAGAGGCAGCAGCACTGAACCATGGAGCACTCCACTCTGTATTTCCCTCCAGGATGGTGAGAAACTCTTAGGGAGTATGAATCTCCATGGACGATTCTCAAGCCAACAATGTCTCCACTTAATTGTCATGCCATCCAGTTCACACCTAATTAGCTTGCTAATCAGCATATCACGAGCCACTTCATTAAATATTTCTTCTGGAACATGTGCATTTTTATCAGAGAGAGGACTGAAACAAAATAGGAGCTGAGTTATCCTAACACTAGTTATCCTAGCTAGTGTTTATTGCCTGGTAGCAGTTTGCCATCTTCATTGGCTATCTGGCACGCCAATTCTGTTTTCTTCCTTTTCAAAAGCACCTTTTGGAAGGAATGGGGATCTGTTTTAATCCCCGAGGTGGCACATTGGTTAGAATGCAATACTGCAGACTGCTTCAGCTGACTGCTAGCTGCAGTTTGGCAGTTTAAATCTCACCAGCTCAAGGTTGACTCAGCCTTCCATCTTTCCGAGGTGGGTAAAATGAGGACCCAGATTGTTGGGGGAAATATGCTGACTCTGTAAACTGCTTAGAGAGGGCTGTAAAAGCATTATGAAGTGGTATATAAGTCTAAGTACTATTGCTATATTCTTTGCGAATCCTAATTCATTTTGAGCTCTTGTTCACACCATTGTTAAACTTCCTCCCTATCTTTGTGTATATTTGGAAGCTGTCTCTCTATCTAACTCCTGTATGGATTCTTTAATTGGGATAGCAGTAGGGGAATACCCAGTTTTATTTTACTACCTCCTACCCCCCCCCCACACATTGCAATAGTTGTGCTTTAGTATTTTCTTTTTTAGGAAATACTTTTTTCTTATACAGACATACATAGTTGTATAATACAGGAAACCCTCAACTTACAACAATTCATTTGTGACAGTTCAGAGTTACAATGGCACTGACAAAAGTGACTTATGACTATTTTTCTCACTGTTGCATCCCCATGGTCACATGATCAAAATTTGGGTCAACTCAACTCATTCATATTTATGATAGTCATATTGTCCTGGAGTCATGTGATCACCTTTTGTGACCTTCTGACAAGCAAAGTCAATGGAGAAGCTACTGTATATTAACTTAACCAATTTACTAACTTAATAACTGCAGTGATTCAATTAGCAACTGTGGCAAGAAATGTAATTAAATGGGGCAAAACTCACTTAACAAATGTCTTACTTAGCAACAGAAGTTTTAGGCTCAATTGTGGTAGTAACTTGTGGACTACCTGTACTGTACTTGCTAAAACAAACAAATAAGTGCAAGTATGTATATTGCATAGGAATTGCTTCAGTTTTAAACAATTAGTTATGCCTCTATCAAGGATCAGAGTAGGCCAGCTTTTAGGGGATCTTCAGCACCCAATTCTATGGCCTGAAATGGGAGGAGTAATTTTAATTAGTCACCTTTTAAAACTTTCCCCTATATCTTGACACAGCATATCTACCACTAGATGACTCACAACAGAGTTACAACCACCTGCTAACAAATAAAAAGTAAACCAGAAGAACAAAGACAACTAGGTGGTCTCATAAAAGTTCATCTGGAATGGGCTCTGATTAGCTGAATAATTTTAGTTAATCTTGCCCTTTTCAGTTATCTACTCTCAAGACAAGATTTGACAACTTCCAGGTTGTGTGGACTAAGTCCTAGGATTTTCATCAATGGCCGTGCTGGCAATAGAATACTGAACTTTGAAGTCCACCTACCCAGAAGTTGTTATGGTTGGAAAATAATGTATAGATATACATGTTTAGATCTCTCCATTTCTGGAATAAGAAACTAATCTCAAGGATTATAAAAGATATGAATGGGAAAATGTATTTAAGATGAAAATGATACAATCACGTGAAGTGTTAATACCACTTTATAATGCCTTGGTAAGGCCACACTGAACTGCATTCAGTTTTGGTTGCCACGATGTAGAAAAGATGTGGAGACTCTAGAAAGAGTGCAGAGAAGAGCAACAAAGATGATTAGGGGACTGGAGACTAAAACATATGAAGAACGGTTGCAGTTTAATGAAAAGAAGGAATAGAGGAAACATGATAGCAGTGTTCCAATATCTCAGGGTTGTGGGTTGCCACAAAGAAGAGGGAGTCAAACTATTCTCCAAGGCACCTGAGGGCAGAACAAGAAGCAATGGGTG